AAAGTTGTCTGAAAACGGTAGTACAGCTAACAGAATGGAGGTAACAGCAAAACATAAAATATAAAAGAAATAGTACAGCTGAAGTTCCACATGCCGTAATGCTATTAACTTTTGCTCTGCTTTCTTACCTTTTCTATTGAGGCCTGACTTGGCTAATTGGATTTTTAAGTCTGCCCAGCTAGACCATCTAACATACCTGGTAGCTTGTGTCCTATATTGTTATAGGTCTGATTTTTGAGGCATGAAGTAGCTTTGCAGGCTGACATGGGGAACGTCTATCCTGTCTTCAGTACCTGTATGCCCCCTATTCCTGTGGTACTGGGAGGACCTAAATAATGTGCTTATCCACACAGTACACCTGGGAGGTTAGTATTTGTAACTCCATCAGAGTTCATGCAGGCAGTCTTTATTGGATCTGGGAACTGAGCCTCGGTTGTTTGATTTCTCTCCCTTTACATCCTGTTTCCATGTTTAGCACATACTTGGCTTGTGTATTCTTTTATATCTGGTTCCTAATGTTGCTTTATAGACTCTTGGCTTTTCAGGAAGCACTGAACCACTAACATTACAGATGACTGAATTTGAGTGGGGAGGGGGAACATGGGAATCCAGAAACAGATAATGCAGTGGTTCTCAACCTTCTTAGACTGAAGGTGCCCTTTGAAAAATGCCAGCTGCTAACTTTTCACTTGTGTATTTGACTACAGATTAGTAGAGCAATTCTTCTGAACTGGAGAACTCAGAAAGACCACAACAGATCACTGTGAATTCTCATTTGAAATCTCTGCTAATGTTGCATGGCACCTAGCACCCTTTAAAGGATCTCAAGGCACCTTGAGAAGCACTGAGATAATAAAATGTGTTGCCTGCACTTTTCCAGGAAACTGAAAAGCATACTCTTTATACTTTTTGCACAAGACTTTGACATCAGACAAACTTTTTGCTTTTGAAGGGGAGTTAACTTAGTCATCCAATCGAGTATCTAGTGACACATGTATATTAGACCATCTATTATTATGACTGACACACAACTTCCAGGGTACCTAAAGTCAGTCTCCTTTATTTTTAAGGATTTTTTGGAGATGCTGAATAGCTAGAACCATCAGAAACAGAAGTCGGTGGACAGTTCAGGTACTTAGAATTTCTGAAAATAAAGCTATTTTTTAATTAGGAACTCAAATATGAAGACTCTGATGTGATAAGCATTGTATTGCCTGTTCTGCCTTGAGTTAAGGGTGCCAGGAATTTCTAGGAGTAGCTTGTCTGCCAGAAGCCAGGTGATCCCGGACTAAAGAATCCTTGGTAAATGCAAATCTATGAGAATTAAACATACTGATTTCATGCTGAAGGCAAGATTTTTTTCAAAATTGGTTAAGTGATTTTTTTTTTGAGTGACTGAATTGAGGCAGCCCTTTTTAATCATTTGTGAAAATGGAGGCTGTTCCTTTATTGCTAGATAACTTAGAAGTTTCTTATAAAATAGGGTAGACAAGTTCTGCAGCAGCCTGAGAGCTTGAAAGCTTTTGTAAGAAGTAAGTTAGCTGTTGATTGCTGTTTAGCATACGTCCTTTTCAGGGATGTGTTGTGTCAATCTTCCAAAAACAATGTGATACCAAAAACTGGAACCATGCCTCTGTGTTGCTTTAAACTCACTTGTTAAACTAGTGGACATTCTTCTTGGGGGAGGGGGGTGGGAAATGTATGCCAGCTCTGGACTCTTGGAGTAAGGAGAAAAGATTCTCTTGCAGCTCACAACGTTGGATAAATAGACAGGACTCCTGGTTTCTGGTTCTAGGTTTTCTACATCCTGGACAAGATGACTCGGACACAGCTTGATAGTTGTGTTTAGAAAAGTTCAGATTGTAACACATGCCTTTTCAAATCTATTTCACTGCTTTCTCTTTTTATTTAATACCACTTGATTTTTTTTCTACCATAGATCTTACATGCAAAAGGAAAGTGAAATGCATTTTTAAGTAGCTTAACTATAAAAATAACAAATAGTAGTAGCAAGACTTGGAGAGGGGAAAAACTAGATTGAGATTTACTTTTTTTCTGAGTAGTTCTCAAGTTAATTAAGTTTCATTAATATTTCTGGGCTTCAGATTCCTCATCCATTAGATGGAGTTGATCATTTATTACCTTGCAGGGGTATTGAAAGCCTGCTTCATTTTGTCAGGAGCTTTGCTGTCCTTTGTACTATGCCCTCAATTCAGCAGATCACTTTAGCTTTTGTTTAAATTCCATTTAACTCAGTAGAACTTAAATGATTTCCTGAATTGAGGCCTAGGCAATTAAGTATTGTTTTATATATTATATTGCTGTAGCTGCCCTCTGTCAAATACCTGATCTATTTCATCAAATAAAAAGGAGAGGTAGAAAATGATTCCAAGGAAGGTTCTTCATAATCTTCTTGTGGATTCCTCGTGCTTCCTTTGTGTTCATCAGTGCATCCAAGAAGGCATCTGCTATAATTTCCTTCCTTTAACATGTCATTAATAAGGCCAGTGACTGTTGCTAGACCTGCTTACAGCCTGCAGAGATCGTGTCTCTAGCTCTGTTTTTATTACAACCTGTTATAAAGTGTCTTTTCGCATGCATAATTGCACAGAATTTGAATCCTCTCATTCCCTTTGCTGCCCCTCCAGTTGCAAGAGAGAGAGAACTTCTCTACAGACAGAAATTGTCTTTTAGACCCAGCCCCCTCACTGTTGCCAAGTCTGATTGTTTTGATATTGTAAGTTGGAACTGTTTTATGTCTAAGACATCTCTTTTAGCAGACCCTTTAAAGACAGCTTTTCAACTTGTTGCATATAAGAATGGCTATTTAAAAATGGTGTAGTTCGTAATTAAGACGCATGGGCCAGAATCTGTGCGTTGGATACGTATTTAAAATGTCTGTGGCATAAAAGTGCTAAATATTTGGTGTTTGAATAGGTTGAAAAAGTGCGAGTATCGCAGTGTAACAAGTTTGACTTATTTCAGTTATAAATACTAACTTGGGCAGAGATAACAATTTGCCTCTTTACTTTTAATGCTAAAACAGTGTGGAGTAGGCTGTTCTCCCCACACTCCTTGTCATGTACTTGTCAGTACAGCTGAGAATCTGTGAGATTTTTTGCATTGCTACAGTGTAGAGCTGGAAGTGCACTTTGACATTTTAAGAGGAAAGGAAAGAGCAAGAACTGAGCTGGTCTATACACTACTAGACAGTGGGTGTGTAAAACATGCTGCTCAGCATGACTTGGAGTACTTGCTTTGAATTCTGTGAAATGGGGGGCAGGATCTGCCAGTCTGTGTGCACTCCCATCTGCTGATAAAGCAAAGAGTGGTACATTTAGAGAGCCTCTCTCCCTTTGCAGGCCAGTCAGTTTGGTTAATCTTCACAGAGCCTTTCTGGCTGATATATCCAAAGAGGGCTCATCTAGCTCATACTTCAGAAGATGTAAGGGATACCCAATCACAGTGTCTGGAGTGCTTTCTAACATACATGTGTGAATGCAATGATTGTTTAGGCAAATGTCTTTCTGTATGCAGTCCGATAATAACGTGAGTGCAAAATTTAGAAGCCAGCTCGTGTAGTGTAACTTGTGTGAGGAAATCTCTGGAGTAAATGTCTTATGAATGTAAAAAAAAAAAAAAACCAAAAAAACTGCTCAACTTGCCCATTTCACAAAAGAAGGCAGTTTATTTTTGTGTAGTTTTAATAAATGTCTAGTTCAATATTACCTTTAGTCTAACATGTATTTTTAGAGCCTTAATGGTTCATGCATTTCAGCCAATAATGTCTTTGGCCTTTTCCATTACAATATAAACATATCTATATGTAAACAGTTTTGTACTTTGAAAGCTTCACAAATCTTACTATTCTCTACGTTAGCCTAAGTTAAAATTGTGTGTCTGAGTACTTTGCTTATATAAATCTCCCACTTAGGTCTCCTTCCTTATGAAGAAAAAATATGTAATTTATATTTATAATCTATTTCCTATTTGCAATATATGTACCTCCTGTTTTGCCATCTTCCTTCTCATACCAAAAGTCTTCCTCAAATCCTAATCAGCTGTCAGACTTCCCTTATACGTTAGCTATCCTAAACTTCACGTAGTAGAATAAGATTATTCCAGATGGGTTGTAACCTTTGTGGTCTTAATTTTACCTGGAGTGTGTGAAGATGGTCAAACCATTAAAAATGTGACTCACCATAGAAACAGCTTGCCCAATAGCATGTGTTGTGAATTAACCAATCCTTCTCTGACACATTCATGTTTAATAGAAAACACAGCAACAAGATGATAGCATGAAACGGCAGCAGCTGCACAAGAGAGAATTTTGAAAAAAATGATTAAAAAATAGTTTCCCTGCAAAGTCATTTGTAATATAAGCTTCATCACAAAAATACTGTAGGTGGACACAGTATCCTAATTAAATTTGTGCTTGAGTATAGTAAAAGATGGTTTAGATTTGATGCGACATTCCTAATCACTTACAAGCGGCACAGCTATAGGCAAGTGAATTATCTCTTCCACTTGTGAAGATAAATGTTATATCAGACCAAACTACCATCTATTAGAATTATAATTTCTATGTTTTGTCATGTGGAAAAAAAACAACAACTGATTGCTCATTAAATAGTAGAGTCTGGCTTTAAATGCTTGTGTCTAGGGGGTGTTAGGGCTTTTTGGCTGATGGCAGGCACATACTTTTAATGTATACAGGTTCTGTCTGTCTGTTCTGAATGAAGCTTTTCAGGAAAAGCATCTTCCCATGTGCAACAAGTTACAGGATTGGAGCCATCTAACAATACCAACATGTTTACCATCTGAATCTGACTTAAATCCAGAGTTTTGAGAGCATACTATGTTGAAAGTTTTAACTTTTTTTCAGGTCTCCTGAAGATTAGAGGGGGAAGGAATTTCAGTCTAGTATTGAAGAATGAATGTGTGCATGTCTGGTCAAGTGCAATTTTAATGTTGTTTCATAAATTGTTTGATTTTGACAGAGAGAAGGAGCAGGAAAGGGAAGAACAGTTAATGGAAGACAAGAAAAGGAAGAAAGAGGATAAGAAAAAGAAGGAATCTGCTCAGAAGGTAACTTTTGACATTTCAGTTCTCCCTTTCCTTTAGATGTTGGGTCTGGTGAATCATGTTCAGCAAATATTTTCCCTTTGTTTTTTTTCAACCTGATTCTTTGTAAAAATGTTTCCCTTTCTGAAATAAGATGATGCCTCTTTTTTTTGTATTGGTTCACTTAGTGCAAATTGTACAGTAGGTTTGAGGTTTCTTTTGTTTTTTTTAGAAGGCTGGGGGAGGATAGGTAGTAATTTTTATGAAAAGCACTTTTTATGAAAAGCACGAGTACTCTGAAGGTGCTACATACTGATTCTTCTGATCTTTGCACCTTCAGCTATTCATTCACACTTGTAAAATTGTCTAGCAGCTCAAAACTCATGTTTTGGAGAGTAAAAATAAGCATGGAAATTTTATTTCAAGGACCCACAGAGGAGTGGGAGTAAGTGGAATATTTAGTAATCCCCTCCCCCCCCCCCCCCCCCACACACACACCATTTCTGCTTTTAAAAAAATAATTTCAACGTTCGCTCTAGAAAACCATTTCATATAACACGTGCTGAAATGTGCCAGTTTGTGAAGATTAGGGAGGGTAGTAAATTGTAACCAGTTGTTACCAAAAATGGTTTCCAGGGCAAAATGTAAAAAACTTTTCAGGAATGGACTATAAAAACAAAAATCTTGTACAAGTGTGGCCTGTATGCAACGTTACCATTTTGTTTTGGGTTTTTTTAATATACACACCTGTTTAACTCAAGAACAGAAAGCTACCCTAGTGTATTCTGACTTGCTGTCATTTAGTTCCTTAAGCGCCAGAAAAGCCTGTCCTTGAGGAGGATCTCTGCTGGTCTTGTTTCTGTGCATTTAGTAAATTCCTGCTGA